AAAAAAAAAAAAAAAAAAAAAAAATGAGTTGGACACTGACTGAGCCCCCCAGGTGCTCCCAGTAGTGGAATTACTGAATCACATGGTATTTCTATTTTTAATTTTTTGAGGAGGAATTATTTTTATAGTCATAAAGTACTAAAGGATATTTTTTAAAACCTAAATAGATCCCTCTAAGAAGGTTTTTTTTTTGTTTTTTTTGTTTAAGTATATTTACTTTGAGAGAGACAGAAACAGTAAGAAGGGGCAGAGAGAGGGAAAGAGACAGAATCCTAAGCAGGCTCCACGCTGCCAGTGAAGAGCCCAATGTGGGACTCAAACTCACTCAACTGTGAGATCATGACCTGAGCCAAAATCAAGAGTCAAATGCTTAACTGACTGAGCCATCCAGGCACCCTAAGAAGACTATTTTTAAAGGCACAGTAATGTGAACGGGGCATCAGGTACAAGGTATGGCACAGTAAAGAAAGGAGAGGACTCCGGAGAAAAACTCAGCTAACTTTAAAGTGTTGGCTTTCAGAGGTGCCTGGGTGACTCATTCAGTTAAGCGCCTGACTTTGGCTCAGGTCATGATCTCGCATTTGTGGGTTTGAGCCCCACATCGGGGAATGTGCTGACACCTCAGAGCCTGGAGCCTGCGTTGGATTCTGTGTCTCCCTCTCCCTCTACCCCTCCCCTGCTTCCACTTTGTCTCTCAAAATAAAATAAAACATTAAAAAAATTTTTAAGTGTTGGCTTTCCTCCACCAAATTAAAATATACGTATCATTGACATAAAGGCAAAAAAAATAACTACATGAAACATACCTTTAGAATTTGAAGAGAAATCAGATGAATCACATAAGTGTTTATATAATTTGGTATCTTAGCACCAATAATCTCAAAATGTTTATGCTCTAGATACCACCTCACACCTGTCAGAATGGCTAACATTAACAACTCAGTAAACAACAGATGTTGGCGAGGATGCAGAGAAAGAGGATATCTTTTGCATTGTTGGTGGCAATGCAAGCTGGTGCAGCCACTCTGGAAAACAGTATGGAGGTCCCTCAAGAAACTAAAAATAAAATTACCCTACAACCCAGCAATTGCTGGGATAAATACTGGATAAATTTATCCTTGGATAAGTACTCTAGATAAATCCCTGGATAAACACTACTAGGTATTTATCCAAGGGATACAGGTGTGCTGTTTTGAAGGGACACACGCACCCCCCATGTTTATAGCAGCACTATGAACAATAGCCAAAGTATGGAAAGAGCCCAAATGTCCATCGATGGATGAATGGATAAAGAAGATGTGGTACATATATACAATGGTGGTACATATATACAATGGAGTATTACTCGGCAATCAAAAATAATGAAATCCTGCCATTTGCAACTACGTGGATGGAACAGGAGGGTATTATGCTAAGTGAAATTAGTCAGAGAAAGACAAATACCATACGACTTCACTCATATGAGGACTTTAAGAGACAAAACAAACGAACATAAGGGAAAGGCAATAAAAATAATATAAAAACAGGGAGGGGGACAAAACAGAAGAGACTCATAAATATGGAGAACAAACAGAGGGTTACTGGAGGGGGTGTGGGAGGGGGGATGGGCTAAATGGGTAAGGGGCACTAAGGAATCTACTCCTGAAGTCATTGTTGCACTATATGCTAACTAATTTGGATGTAAATTAAAAAAAAATTAAATTAAAAAAATGTGTATGCTCTTTCTATCATTACGTGTCTAAGAATATGATATTTTTTTCTGCTCCTAATATTTTACTCTCACTTGTGCCTGAGCAGGTGGGCTCCAGACAGGCAGTAAACATCTACTGGCACCCAGCTGGGAGCATGGAAAGGCCTGGCCTAGCTCTCTGGGGTCACAGACTATGGAGTTCGAAGGAGCAGGTCTGGCCCTTCTTGATCAGCATGGGGTGCCTGGCCAGGGACACAGGTGAGTCTTTTTTTTTTTTTTTTAAGAGACTGGATATCATTTTTACTAATGCCACAGCCCAACATCCATTTTGTCACTACAGCAGGTTGATTGAGTGTGTGTGTGTGTGTGTGTGTGTGTGTGTGTGTGTGTGTGTTCCTGAACAGACGAGGGGCCAGAAGAGACTCAAGCAGGTCTCAGCCAACAGCTCTACTGAGCAGCAACCGAAAGACAGTGACACAGGTTGGACTTCTGCCTGTCTTTCTCCTGGGCTACCTTTCCGCATTCTGAGGGCAAGTGTGAGGCCCATGCCAGCCAAGATTAAAGGGCTTCTTAGCAAAGTTCAGTCTCCAACTCCCAGTCATCACCGCCCCTCTGACCACAGGGATGCCCCTGGGCAAAGTACAGACTGCTAGGCAAAGGTGGATAATCATCACACAAGACATGAACTGTATATGCTGTTGACTATCCATGAAAAATCAATCAGTTTTCAGATAGATAGATGTACCCAACAGGAAGACAGCCTAGCCAGCCACGGAGAACCATGAAAGGCATTTAGCAATTAAGAAGTCAACATTTTTGATAGCGGGCTACTAGTAACACATGTGTCAGATTCTTCCTTAAGCACAATAAGTGAAATTATGAAGTTGATGTTAGAAGGCTTTGTTTTCAGAATGGTTCAATGGTTCTGAAGGGCAGTAAAAGGCAAACTGGTTCCAAATTGTAAAGAGATTTGTTTATTCTACTTCTGTCAAATAAGAACTAATGGTTACGGTTTTGAGAGGTCACACATGATATATGTCTAATCTGACAAAAAGCAGAGTAGACCATCTGAAGACAAAGGTCTGCAAAAGGAAAGACTACATATGAAGCACCACATATGTAATTTCTATGTGATTACTAAGGTCCTTTTTAGAACTAAGGGACTCTTGGATACTAGACACCTAGGGTTTCAAAAAGTCATGTTTAAAGTTTGGCTCACTGACTCAATATATATAAATAAAATTTTGCAATTACTATACACTATCTTGTCACTGTAAAAAAAATTTAACAGACCATGGTGAGGAAAATGGCAGCATAGGAGGACACTGGGCTCACTGTGTCCTGCTGACCACTTAGATTCCACCCACATCTGCCTAAATACACCAGAAAACCGCCAGAAGACTAGCAGAGGACTCTCTAGAGCCAAGCGTAGACAAGTGGTCCATGGAAGAGGGGCCCCTCCCGAAGCGGACTACCAAAGGCAAAGCGAGCTGAGTCTGCCCCTCCAGCCCCTGTGCACCTTGCGGATCTGCCCTGGCTAATACGCCAGATCCCATCTAAGCAGCACCACAAGCCTGGCAATGTGTAAGTAGCCCAGACAGGGGGCCACACCACCCCTGGGAGAGGGGAAGATAAGGTCCACACCAGTCTGACTGTGGCCCCAGGGGTGGGCTGGGGGCAGACATCAGGTCTCACTGCGGCCCTGCCCACCAGCGCGAGTTACTGCAGAGAGCACAGAGGAAGAGCTCTGCAGTTCTGTGCCACTCCAGGGACTATCCAAAATGACGAAACGGAAGAATTCTCCTCAAAAGAAACTCCAGGGAGTAGCGGCAACTAACGAACTGATCAAAAATGATTTAAGTAATGTAACAGAAAATGAATTTAAAATAATAGTCATAAAATGAATTGCTGGGCTTGAAAAACGTATACAGGACAGCAGAGAATCTATTACTACAGAGATCAAGGGACTAAGAAACAGTCAGGAGGAGCTAAAAAATGCTATAAATGAGCTGCAAAATAAAATGGAGGCGACCACAGCTTGGATTGAAGAGACAGAGGAGAGAATAGGTGAATTAGAAGATAAAATTATGGAAAAAGAGGAAACTGAGAAAAAGAGAGATAAAAAAATCCAGGAGTATGAGGGGAGAATTAGAGAACTAAGTGACACAACTAAACGTACTAACATATGCATAATTGGGATTCCAGAGGACGAAGAGACAGGGAAAGGTGCTGAAGGTGTACTTGAACAAATCATAGCTGAGAACTTCCCTGAACTGGGGAAGGAAAAAAGCACTGAAATCCAAGAGGCACAGAGAACTCCATTCAGATGTAACTTGAATCGATCTTCTGCATGACATATCATAGTCAAACTGGCAAAATACAAGGATAAAGTGAAAATTCTGAAAGCAGCAAGGGATAAACGTGCCCTAACATATAAAGAGAGGCTGATAAGACTAGTGACGGATTTATCTACTGAAAGTTGGCAGGCCAGAAGAAATGGCAGGAAATCTTCAATGTGGTGAACAGAAAAAATATGTAGCCAAGAATCCTTTATCCAGCAAGTCTGCCATTTAGAATAGAAGGAGAGATAAAGGTCTTCCCAAACAAACACTGAAGGAATTCATCACCACTAAACCAGCCCTACAAGAGACCCTAAGGGGGATCCTGTGAGACAAGGTACCAGAGACATCGCTACAAGCATGAAACCTACAGACATCACAATGACTCTAAACCCACATCTTTCTATAATAAAACT